TGGGGCTAGTGGGGCTCAAGCCTGTACCAAGCAGGGGCTCAGTGCAGACTTTACCAGACCCAGTCTTCTCAGTGGGACCTGGTGGCAGAGGCGGAGTTGGAGAAAGTGACCGTCCTTCTCTCCTTCCAACTCAACGTGAGCCATTCATGGGGTCCACCAACATCAGCGTGTAATGGGAGTGGGGGGTCACTCTTTCCCTGTCGAGCTGTGGGCCACCTGGTGAGTAGCTAGCTTCAAGGTCTGCCCCTAAAGAGAAAAATGTTTTCCCCATAAAGAAAAACTATGGGGCTGGAGCGATAGCACAGCGGGTAGGGCGTTTGCCTTGCATGCAGCTGACCTGGGCTTGATCCCCAGCATCCCATATGGTCCCCCGAGCACTGCCAGGAGTGATTCCTGAGTGCAAAGCCAGGAGTAACCTCTGAACATCGCTGGGTGTGATCCAAAAAGGAAAAAAAAAGAAACAAAAATAAAACCACCCAACTATGCTTGTGCTTATTATGTCCTTCTAGTCCCCAGGTGACTGGTGTGAAGTGGGGAGGAGAGGTGGCAGCCGCGAGAAGGGGACCTGTCACTTTCTCTCAACCCACCTCTGCCATCCGGGAAGGGCTTGGGGAAACCTAGGACTGGTAAGAGTCTGCTGTGGGCCTGGCTCCTTGCAGGCAAGGAAAGTCAGTCCTAGACCTTCCCCGGGCCTTTTGGGCCCTTCGCCTTTCCCTCACAGAGACGAATCTCAGGAGGAAAGAAGCATTGGAGTTAAAACAGATTTTATTTGGAAGCTTTGACAAAAGGGAGGAGAGATAGGACATGCTCAGGAGAGAATGGGCTTCTCCAGATGCAGAGCGAGCCCTAGTACTCATCCAGAATTAGATATGAAAGTATGACAGTTCACATCTCAAGGGGGCGACAGGGGCAACCTATGTGCTCGAGCACCATATGCCCCAGGCAGCAAACATGGACACAGGCAACCCATGGACCTGGGTAGAATATGTGGGCACTTCCTTTGTTCAAGTTGGCTTCTATAGTTTTTCCCAAGCTGACTTACTTGGGTCTTTCTACCTAGTAAGACTCTGTTGCTAGGGTGGTTTCCAAGGGGTAGAGTTGGGAACAGTTGGTGGTCTTTGAAATTCCTTTCCTGGCCTTTATTTCTGCTTCTCTCCTAAAAGGGTCCAGCCTTCACTGGGTCTGAGCTGGCACCAGATCTTATCAAGCTTTAGTTCCTGTGTCCACAAAGTGGGTTTTTGCAGTGTTGGGGCTATTGGTTTGATAACTTTTCAGAAAGTCATTGGATTGGAGTGAGGGGTGCTATCTGCCTATTTCACTTCTATGAGAAACAGATAATCTAAGGCTTATCTGCAAGCTTATGTGATAAACCTATCTCTATTTGCCTGAGATAATTCCTTGTTTAAAGTAGAAACTTTGGGCCGGAGAGATAGTAAGGCAGGTAGGGTGTTTGCCTTGCACGCAGTCGACCCTGGCATCCCATATGATCCCCAGCACTGACAGGAGTGATTCCTAAGTGCAGAACCAGGAGTAACCCCTGAGCATCGCTGGGTGTGACCCAAAAAGCAAAAAATAAATAAATGAAACCAAAAACTTTGGCGCCTGAGAGATAGTACAGGACTTAGGGAGTTTACCTTTCATGCCCCTGGCGCTGTGTGGTCCATGAGCACTACCTGAAGTGAACCTTTGCCCCTGAGCACCACTAGGTATTCCCCACCCTACCTCCCCACAGAACGTTTTTTAAATAAAGCCATTCTGACAAAGTGTGAAGGCTTTGATTTGCTTTTGCTTGTACTTGTGTTAACTTGCATTATTATTGCAAGTGATATGCCCATCTTTTCATAAAGAAGGAAGATTAGAGTAGAAATAAATGAAATAGGGATGGAGAGATAGTTCAACGGGTGGGGCACTTGCCTTGCATGCATCCAACCCGGATTCTAATCCCCAGCATCTCATTTGGTCCTCCAAGTACTGACAAGAGTGAGTTTTAAGGGCAGAGCAGAAGTAAATCCTGAACACTGCCAGGAGTGGCCCAAGCTTACTTAAAAAAAATTTAAAGAAATAAGGTAAAGGCCCTCCCGTTGTTCATCGATTTGCTTGAGCGGGCCCAGTAACGTCTCCATTGGAGACTTTGGTGTTACTGTGTTTGGCATATCGAATACGTCACGGGGAGCTTGCCAGGCTCTGCCGTGCGGGCGAGATACTCTTGGTAGCTTGCCGGGCTCTCCGAGAGGGGCGGAGGAATCGAACTCGGGTCAGCCATGTTGGCTGCGTGCAAGGCAAACGCCCTACCGCTGTGCTATCACTCCACTTATTATTTAAAGAAATAAATGAAATAGAAACTAATATATGCAAAGAACTAATAAAATTTGGGGCTGGAACAATAGTAGACCGGGGAGGGTGTTTGCCTTGCATGCGGCCGACTCGCTTTCAATCCCCAACATCCCATAGGGTACCCCAAGCACCGCCAGGAGTAATTCCTGAGTTCAGAGCCAGGAGTAACCCCTGAGCGTCACTGGGTGTGACCCAGAAAGAAAAAACAAACAAAAAAAAAAATAATAAAATTTAAAATTAATTTTTGAAAAAACGTCAAGAACTGACAAGTCCTTAGCTAACTAAGGAAAAAGGGGAGAAGATGGTTAGAAATAAAAGCCAAATCCCAGTGAGAAGAGAAGAGAAAAGTGTGTTTTTGTGTGTGTGTTTTGTTTTGTTTTTGTTTGGGGGCCACACCCCGCTGTACTCAGGGGTTACTTACTCCTAAATTCTTATTTACTCAAAAGCCACTCCTAAGGCATTCTGGGTGGGGGTTGAACGCAGGCCAGCTGTGTGCAAGGCAAGTTCCTTACTTCCTGTTCTATCTCTCACCACATTGGAGTCAGGTGTTTTAAAGCAGCGAAGGGGAGAGACGGGAGGAGCAGCCTCACAGAATGACCAGGTCAAGGAGAGAGTTAAAAGGCTGACTCTTTTCTTTGCATGCAGAAGCCCTGTGTTCAATCCTCAGCACTGCCGAATCCCCTGAGCCCCGAGATGGAAGTGACCCTGAAGACTGCCGGTGTGGCTCCCTCAAAAGAACCAAGAAACCCAACCAACAGATTAGAAGGTCTGAGGATACAGTGCTGCCTAGACCCCACAGTCAGCAGCCAAGAAGGGGCACCACGGGACTCTTTCCCACCGTATTTGTATCTGTGAAGATTTGATTCCATTGCTCCAAGTGCCCATTAATTGGGAGACACAGTGATGAGTCAAGATAGAGCTTTCTTGGCAAGAACAGCAGATTGGAAGATGGAAGATTCACAGGATACTGTGGTGCTTGGGAGAACAAGTTGTGTATGGGGGACCATGAGGTACAGGTGATCACACCCAGGTCCAACCCTTCAAGTTGTCTCCCTGACCTGTGATTAATATTCTTGATAAAATATTTTTTTAAAGGATTAGATTCCCTTGCATCTACTTAAATGTATTTTTTCTTTAGTGCTAGTTCATGGCCTAGACACTTACTTTCATAGCACACTGTATCAAGAGAATTATGCCTACGGAAATGTGTATTCAAGTTAGAAATAAATTTTCTGATGCTACTCAATAACCCTACTCCCAAAGTCCTAACCTGCCCAAGAATATAAATTTAACGTTGAGGCTTTGAGGCAAGCACTACAGGACCTACATAAACAAGACAAGCCAAAATCCCTTTCTGTAAATATAAAAACTGAAATAGAGGGGAAATTAAGTAGAAATAAAGAAATTCATGTGATGCAGAATTTTGAAACTATATTGACTATAAATTTCCTATAGCAATTCAATTTGCCTATAGAGTCTACAGAATTTTGTTCAGAAAAGAGAATCTTTCTTCTTTGGATTAGTCTGAGCATTTTTGTTTTGTTTTTTGGCCACATCTATTGATGCTCAGGGATTACTCCTGGCCTCTAGTTTCCCCACTTCTGCCTTTAAATTTTTCCACTACAAACTCAAAGAGTTGAGTACTTGCTTTGTATTCTTGGAGGCCTGGCTTTGATCCCTGTACTGTTTTGATCCCTGATCTTTGATCCCTGATTTTCTGAGCATCCCCAGAGTGATCTCTAAACAATGAGTTTTCCCCAAGCATCCTGAGGGTAGGCCCCCCCAAAAAAACTGAAAAGAAAAAGAATGGAAAACTCTTCATAATTAGACAAAAATGATTTTGCAGAAAAGGATGACATGTATGAATGAGGAGTTGTGAAGTTAACTCCAGGTTGACAACACTGAGATACCATGTTGTATATAGGATTCAACAAAGGTGTTTATTACCACAGGATTGGTGAAAGCCCCTAACTACCTAAACTATATAAATAGGCAGCTGGAAATGTAGAACCTTTTGTTTTTGAAATACTAGAACAAGATGAAAAAACAATTTGCATTTAATTGGGGAAAAATATTCAAGATCAATACCACATAGGGCAGTGTTTTTAGGAAGACAAAATGAAATTTTTCTAAAAATGTCTAGTTGCGTATCAGAGTCAGAGAGTCTGTTGGCTTTGACCACTTGTTATTCCCAATCTTAAGAGATATACCTCTCCTCACTGACTTTCCTCAATACCGTCTTCTTCTATCCATGTGGAGGCAAATCACGATTTAGTATTTTTTATTTACGCTGAACACAATTTCATGGAGTATGCATACCAGTCTTTTTATTCAGCCATTTATTCTTAGAAACGTGGGTTGACAGCCAGAATTTCATTTATCTTTAAAATCTATCCCTTTGGGGACAGATAGAGAGTAAAGTGGGTAAAGCACTTGTCTTCCATGTCCCCCAGGTTTCATCCCTGGCACTGCAGATAGCCCCTTGAGCACTGCCAGGAGGGATCCCTGAGCACAACCAGGGGCAGCCCCAAAAATAACAAACAAAAAAAATTGCATCTGGAGGACAAAGGTAGCTAGCCTGGTCAAGGTTCCCCAGATAGCCCCTCCCTTTTCTAACCCTGAATCCACATCAGACCCCGGGGTCTGGTTCCTTTTAGGATGCAGATTTATTGGTTCATTTCTGTCAACCCAAATGAAATATGTTTGACAAAACATTCAGGTGCATATCCTCCCTTTATAAAGGGCTCGGAGTTATAGATGAACTTCAGGCCACAGAGAAGACACGAGTAGTGGGTGATGATAGAAATCTTCCTGGGCTTTCCAAGGTCGCTGAGAACCTCTGTCAGCTCTGCACAAAGCAGCTCAAAAGTCCTTTGGTGGAGGACGTTCGGAGCACTGTAGCTCTCCTGTGGGGCTGGATAGACCTCGAGCATTAAGTGGGGCAGCCCGGCCAGGTGCTGCAGCATCAGGACCAGGGTGCCCATGGACATGCGGTTCCCACGAAGATTCAGGACCCTGAGCTGGGAGCAGAGTTTCAGCACAGGCAGAAGGACCTCCAGGTGGGTGTCCAGGAGCCCGCACACCCCTAAGTCCACGTCCTGCAGGGTGGACACACAGTTCTCCAGCAGAACTGGGAGGGACTCCCCAACAGAGCACAGCGGGATGCCTCGCAGACACAGCTCCTTCAGCTGGGTGAGGTTGGGGCACTGGAACAGATCTGTCAAGTCTGGCTCTGGGAGTGGACATTCTGTGATGCACAAAGTCTCCAGAGACCTGGTCAGGCACCTGGGGAAAGAGGAAGTTAGCTCTGAGGAATAGGATCGTGGAATAGGATCGTGCATGTAGATGTACCTCAAGAGGAAGATGCACCCCCAAAGAGATGAGCAGACTGACCTCCCCAAGGTCAAAGGGATTTTGACCATCATCTGAATGAAGGTGAAACCCGGGCACCTCAGTCTCACTGGAAGCTGAGCCTTTTCACTTTCAAGAGTGTGCAATTGGTCAAGTTTTTGAGTTGGCCTGAGTCTCCCAATCAATGCGGGCATCCTAGACTAGAATAATGGGAGACAGAACCAAAACGCTATACCAATCAAATTTGTTTAGACTGGTCTAAGCAATGAATTTTTCTTTTTCTTTCTGGGTCACACCCAATGATGCTCAGGGGTTGCTCCTGGCTCTGGACTCAGGAATTACTCCTGGCGGTGCTTGGGGGACTATATGGGATGCCAGGGATTGAACCTGCCTTGAACATGGCACGCCCTCCCTGCTATACTATCACTCCGCTCCCCCTAAGTAATGAATTTTAATTCTGGTCTGTGTTAGTGTTTTGGTGATGTAAAGGTAGAAAACCTTGACTTAGATCATTCACACTCAAAATCGAGAGAGGCTGGCATGAGAAAGAGCAGAGAAGAATCCTGCTCAAAGCCCAAGATGGCACAGACCCTGTGTGAGGAGCCTCACAAAGGTGTCATGCCACGCGGCCAACCTCCATCAGCGCATCCTTGTCACTCCTCTCCCACATCCTCATGCATGACTCAAACATTCCCAACAATGAGTCCGGCTCATTCTCGAACACAGCGGAATACAGCCCTTTGGAAGTGCTCACTTCAGCTGGGCGGGGGGGTGGTTCGTTTTCCTTAGTTCTCCCAAATCATCGTTTTTTTTGGGGGGGTCACACCTGGTGATGCACAGGGGTTCCTCCTGGTGCTGCACTCAGGAATCACTCCTGGTGGTGTTTGAGGGACCATATGGGATGCTAGGAATCGAACCCCAGTTGGCCGCGTGCAAGGCAAATGCCCTATCCACTGTGCGATCGCTCCTGCCCCCTCCCAAATCATCTTATGCCTCTGCCTCCGGAGCATTCCCAAACCACTCTCCCCACATAGCTCCTACTTGGGGGCTCCTGTGCGAAGCCACCATGCAGTCTGCATGCCTCACCTGAGAATCTGGCCCACGTGACCCCTGAGGAAGAAGGGACACTCCACACGAAGCTCCCGCAGTCTCTGCAACCTGGGCAGCTGAGCGGCCAGCAGGGATCCATACTGTTCCTGCTCCTGCAGCTCCTGGGGTCCGTGCCTGGTGATGAAGTGGAGTCCCTGCAGATTGCTCATACAGCCCAGAATAAGTGTGAAAGGAGCAAACCATCCCATGGTGCGCGACGTCCAGGTGAAAAACACTGCCATCTCCTGTACGCACGCCGCTGTAATCCCGCTCAGTAGCAAAGAGGGCATGGGCTCTTCATAAAAGGTAATTTTCTTACAGCACAGGTGAACCCCTTTCCTTTCCCTCGCCCAGTTAAGGATGTAGGTTATTTGTTCAGTGAGGGCAGCAAAGCCAAAAGTAATGTCTAAGACCATCTCCAAGGAAGCAGAGGTGTGCTTTCTTGGATTCCCATGGTCCACAGGTTCTTTCCCGTAAGCGCTGCTCTGGATAGGGGTCCCACACCAGCGATGCCAGAATTTCTCACTGATGGGACGAAAATCCACCACTTGCAGCTTGCACCGCCTGTTGGGCAATGGAACATTGGGAACATGTTTGAAGTTTCTACTCTCAGACAACCAGGTTCTTCTTGGTGCCAGAACTAGTTCCCTTCACCTCTTTCATATTACATTCCTCAGATATTGTATAACATTGGTTTGTCCTTGCTCCTCCTGCAGGGAGCTTAGGTTTATTGAGTTACTCCCTCAACAGTGCTCCTGAGGCAGACCCAATTCCATCAGGCAGTCATAATAGTCCTATATTGCTTTCCTCTTTCCTTTTGTCCTTTGCATAGTTTAGCAATGCTTTTGTATAGATACGGGAGCACAATTAGTGCTATGCTTTCGTAACATAGAGTTAATGGACTCCGAATAATATTTACTCCTGGGTAACTATCATATTTACTTGACTTAAGTCTCAATTGCCCTTACTTCCTAACATCCCCCAAAAGAGGTTCTGGCAAGGGACAAGGATGGACCCAGGGCAAATTGTAAACTACACTGGCGTCGAAAAGGGGCAAGCTAAGAACAATATGAAAAGCCTGGTCATGGAACACACTCTGTCATGTCCCAAAAAGAAGTAACTGAATAAGGACATTGTTGGGTTAGGAAAGACAAAGCTGGCCTGAGGACTGTAGCTGGGACATATAGCAAGATGTCTCCAAGAAGAACCACTCTTTAAAGCTCAGTACATCTCTTATTGTGTTCATACAAAATGACTAGAAATATTAGTATTCAATATGATCGTTTCAATGAATTAGTAGCTAAGGAAAGAAGAAAGTAATATGCCCTTTAGATGGAATTCTGGGTGGATCTCCTAGAGTGCTGAACCCCCAGATGAGATTTTAGTCCTTAAGTTCATCTCCTTGAAGAACTTCCCTGGAAGGAAAGGCTTTACATCTGTTTATTGTTATGATGGGCTGGAGCAATAGCACAGTGGGTAGGGTGTTTGCCTTGCACGCGGCTGACCCGGGTTCAATTCCTCTGTCCCTCTCAGAGAGCTCAGCAAGCTACCGAGAGTATCCCGCCCACACGGCAGAGCCTGGCAAGCTACCTGTGGCAGATTTGATATGCCAAAATCAGTAACAAGTCTCACAATGGAGACGTTATTGGTACCCGCTTGAGCAAATGAACAACGGAACAGTGCTACAGTGCTATTGTTATCATAATGTTCACCCCCACTTATGTGTGCCCCACTCTTCACGTTTCTATATAACTATGCTGTAAGGATGAGGAAAGGAGAAATAACTACGCCAGAGGAGAAGAGGAGGAGAAAGAAAAAGAAGAGGAGAAATGAACAGTCCCAATTACCAACCAGCCTGTGACCCCTGTGCCTCTATTCCCCACGGCCCCATTCCTTGATTTGCCTGTCGCCTTTGGCCCGCCTGGGGAGGTGGCTCTCGGCCACCTAACGCATTCACTGTGTCCAACTTTTTGAACTCACACCTCAAGTTTTCCCCACCCACTTCCTCCCTCTGACTCCATCTCCATCTCCATCCCATGTCAGTGGGGCTGGGCAAGCACAGATTCTTTCAGACACCTCCTAAGCTTTCTAGAAACTCCTGGAAGGCTTCTCTCAGCGTGTGTTCACCTCTGGCAGAGTGGTCTGTGCTCTACATTGGCATCAGAGAGGTCCAGTCTTACTACCCTGACCCAGTCAACCCACAAACTATGATTCTTTCAGGTTACCTGATTCAGTCTTACCTGTGTCGAACCTTCTGGGCAAGTAGAGCATCAAGTCCATCCATAAGTGCTTTAAAATAAGCGGTCACAGAGTTGGATTGTTGTATATAAATCCCCAAGGGTAAAACAGGAAAGGGCCAGGTCAGTACTAAGCCCTTCAGAGTCTTAAGAGACCGGAAAGAGACTGCATCCAGCAGCAGATATGGGAAGAGCTCTGTGGGGATGTCTTCCAGGTCAGTGATGGACATCTCAGCATCCTTCAGCAGGCACCGTCGTGCCAAGTCCTGGAGAGAGCTTGGATTCCAGGTCCATGTCCTGTGTCTATGCATCATGGAAACCTTTGGAAACATCCAGGCATCTGGTGTCACTTTTTGGTTTGTTACGTTAGGGGCCACATGCTCAGTGCTTACTCCTTGCTCTGCGCTCAGGGTACCATGTCGATGCTGGGGATCAAACCTAGGTTGGCCACAAGCACCTGCCCACTGTACTATCATTTCAGCCCTGCATCTGGGGTCTTTTGCAAGCCAAGCCTGAGCTAACTCAGCCTATATCCCCCTGCCTTGGTCAAAGGAACTCCCTCATGCCTTGTCACTTCCCTGGCTGTGTGGAAAGGATCTCCAGTGAGCCCAGTCCCACACAGGCCTCTAGACTGCAGGACAAGCCTCCCAGTAACACCAGGGAGGAAGGACATCCACGATCCATCTGTAAAATCTTCCTGTTGTTGGCTGAGTTCCTATTACTCTTAGGGGGGAAGACAGGAAGGGAAACTGATGCACCCTTTAGAGGAATTGCAGGGCCTTTTTTTTTTTCTTTTTGGGTCATACCCAGCGATGCTCAGGGGTTACTCCTGGCTCTGCACTCAGGAATTACTCCTGGTGGTGCTCAGGTGACTATATAGGATGTTGGGAATCAAACCAGGGTCGGCCACGTGCAAGGCAAACGCCCTCCCCGCTGTGCTATTACCCTAGCCCCTTGCAGGGCCTTTTTTTCAGAGCAAAATAATGGGACCCAGGATCCTGTGACCCAGCAAAGCTTTGCTTCCTAGTTCAACCAACTGGGAAAGATCAGAAAAACCCAGAAAGGGAAGAGGAAATGGGTGGATTGAAAGACCTTTGAGAAGTCTTTTACCTTCCACATTGAAATACGAATCTGGAGAATCCAAAGGAAGCAACGCAGAAAATCTGACAGATGTGGCGAACACTGAGATGTGTTGAGATTTCTAAGCTCTATCTCTTCACATATATTAATATTAGACTTGAAGCATCGGTTTAGGGCAAGAGCAGAAGCGGTAGTGGAGCAGAGAGAACATTTGTCTTGCACTGTCCACTTTATAATCCCTGGCACCCCACATGGTCCTCAGAGCCCCACCAGGAAAATCCCCAAGCACAGCCAGGAGTAAACCCTGCTGGGTGTGACACCCAAACAAAAACAAAATAAAAAAGGAGCTCGGGGCAAGAGATTATTCACATTCAAAACACAAACTATCCTCTACCATATTTCCTCAATGTAAACTTTTGTATAAAAAAGTCTTGAGAAAAATCACAAACCTTTAACTATGAGCCTACAAACTATAGATTGCTCAATTTGCTCGAGCGGGCCCAGTAACGTCTCCATTGGAGACTTTGTTGTTACTGTGTCTGGCATATCCAATACTCTCGGTAGCTTGCCGGGCTCTCAGAAAGGGGCAGAGGAATCGAACTCGGGTCGGCCATGTTGGCCGCTTGTAAGGCGAACGCCCTACCCGCTGTGCTATCGCTCCAGCCCATATTTAATATTTCATATTTAAACTATAGATTAAATATTTAAATACTATAGATAAAATATTTAAAATGCAAACAAAGGGGTTGGAGGATAGTACAGCGGGTAGGGAGCTTGTCTTGCACGCGACCGACCCAGGTTCAATATCTGGCACCCCAGAGGGTCCCCCGAGCCCACCAGAAGTGGTCCCTGAGCACAGAGACAGGAGTAAACCCTGAGCACCCCTATGCTTAACAAAACAAAACAAAGACTAATCAACACAAAAGAACAAGTAAAATTCCAAGACATAAAACCCCAAGAACTTGAATGCTGTTCATTTAAAACTTTCTGCTTTCACTAGATATTTAAAAGTGAAATAGCCCAACATACAAATCAGAGTGTTTAGGGGTAAACACAAGATTGTGCTTAGGAGCAAAAGCCAAGGCTGAAATTCATCTGCCTAAAAAAGATTAGAAAAAAAAAACACAGGAAAATGGGTGCCTATCACCCCATTCCAGAATGCAGGTTTAAGGGGGAGTGCCTTCAGTTTAAGGAGAAAATCCTCTGCTGAGAGGAGAAACTTACCAGTTGTGAAGGTTGGGAAATTCTCGGGTGTCCTGGAAGACTCAGGAGCTAGAAGTTTGTGCCTCTCCTCTTTGGACCCGGCAGCTTTTAGCAAGGGTTCGAAACCCACCTTCTACTTTATGCATATTTTCCTCCAATAGGAAGGAAGGAGAGTTGGGTGGATACATTATCCCATCAGATTATTCAAATTAGTATTTTCTTTCGTTCAGGCCCATTGATCGGATCAAATATCCAGGCAGCAAGAGAAATAATGAAGGCGGGGTAACTAAAGATCTATTTGCTGCTTCACTCGTAAGTTTACAAATCGAGGGAGTGACAGCACTGGGTGATGCAAGGAAAAATCCAAATCTTCCCGATACTAGCCAAGAAAACAATCCATTAGACATAGAAAGATTGCATTCATCTGGGGAACATAAAGTAACAAAATAGGAGACTAACACCCAAGAATGGCCAGGATTAAGGTAAAGGTAAAGGCCCTCCCGTTGATCGTCGATTTGCTCGAGCGGGCCCAGTAACGTCTCCATTGGAGACTTTGTTGTTACTGTGTCTGGCATATCGAATACTCTCGGTAGCTTGCCGGGCTCTCCGAGAGGGGCAGAGGAATCAAACTCGGGTCGGCCATGTTGGCCGCTTGTAAGGCGAACGCCCTACCCGCTGTGCTATCGCTCCAGCCCGGCCAGGATTAGTACCAGAAATTTTACTCCATGGCTTGGAGGCCAACCACACATACTAGGAGAAAAGGGAGCTCAGATAAAGAAGGGAACACCAAATAAAGGTGTTGGGAGGATCCTCCCAGGATGGGAGAAGCATGCGGAAAGTAGACTATAGACTAAACATGATTGTCACCCATTGCCTCTTTTGCAAACCACTACACCCAATAAGAGAGAGAGAACAGGAGGGAATGCCCTGCCACAGAGGCAGGGTGGGATGGGGGGGGGATGGGGGTGGGAGGGATACTGGGATCCGTGGTGGTGGGAAATGGGCACCGGTGGAGGGATGGGTATTTGATCATTGTATAATTGAAACCCAAGCACAAAAATTTGTAAGTCTGCAACTGTACCTCATGATGTCTCGCTATTCAAAAAAATTTTAATAAAATAAAAAAATAATAATAAATAAAAAAAGAAAACAATCCATGAAAATATGATGGGAGTAATTGGTCCTAGCATGTACCTCAGTCCCCCAGAAAGTATGTGATGGAACATGATGGCCACTTAGTACCCGTATTGCAAACCATAACACCCAAAAGGAGAGAGAGTAAGAGGAATGTGCCTGCCACAGAGGCAGGGAGGGGACGGAGAGGGGTGGCGGGAGGGGTACTGGGAACATTGGTGGTGGAGAATGGACACTGGTGGAGGGATGGGTACTCGATCATTGTATGACTGAAACATAATCATAAAAGTCTGTAAGTCTGTAACTTGGTGGAAAGAGAGAAAGAAAGAAAGAAAGAAAGAAAGAAAGAAAGAAAGAAAGAAAGAAAGAAAGAAAGAGAAAGAGAGAGAAAGAAAGAGAGAGAGGAAGGAAGGAAGGAAGGAAGGAAGGAAGAAAGAAAGAAAGAAAGAAAGAAAGAAAGAAAGAAAGAAAGAAAGGAAGAGAAAGAAACCAGCCGCAGGAGGTTTTATCTCTGACTACGCCTGCTACCCTGAGCACCACAGAGAGTGACCACTGAGAGTAGAGCCAGGGGAAGCTTCTAAGCACTGCTGGTGTGTCCCAAGAGCAAATAAATATGAACAAAAAATCCTTCGTGTCGGTCCCTGAAAGACACTCCCATATTTACTACAAACCTAAATCAAGTGAGGATTAGACTTGGGGGCAAGGGTAAACTGAGGTCTTATCTTTAGGCTCCAAAGAAAAGGTGAGCAAGAAAAACAATGTCTGGGGCTGGAGCGATAGCACAGCAGGTAGAGCATTTGCCTTGCACACAGCTGACCTGGGCTCGATTACAGAATCCCATATGCTCAATTCTGAGCACCGCCAGGAGTAATTCCTGAGTGCAAAGCCAGGAGTAACCCCTGTGCATCACAGGGTACCCAAAAAGAAAAAAAAATGTCTAATAAGTTTTCTTTGGCTCAATTTCTCTTCATTTTTTTCCTTCCTTTTAGGCTATATCCCACTATGCTCAGGAGTTACTCCTGGCTTTGTGCTCAGGGAACCATAGACAGTGCAAAGAATCAAATTAGGGCTCACCATATGCAAGGCAAGCATCTTACCCCCATACCATCTAGCCAGCCTTTTACACTGAAACATATTAGAAAATGTAATTCTCTTTTTGTCTCTGTAATTGTCTCCTGTTAGTGGCAAGATTCACTGCTGCGGCCAGAGTGATAGTACAACAGGCAAGGTACTGATTTTTTTTTCTTTTTGAGTCACACCTGGCAATGCACAGGAGTTACTCCTGACTCTGCATTCAGGAATTATTCCTGGCGGTGCTCAGGGGACCATATGGGGTGCTGGGGATAGAATCCGGGTCAGCCGCATGCAAGGCAAACGCCCTACCCACTATACTATTGCTCCAACCCCCAGGTACTGAATTTAAGGGAAGGAGAGCACTTATCTCAGAAGAAATCACCCCTCCACACTGCTGGGACTGAAGCAATAGTACAGTGGGGAGGATGCTTTCCTTGCACATGGCTGACACGGGTTTGATCCCTGGCATCCCATATGGTCCTTCAAAGTCATGAGGAGTGATCCCTGAGTGCAGAGCCAGGAGTAAGCCCTGAGCACCACTGAGCATGGCCCCAAAACCAAAACAAACAAGTGAAAAAGAAACCATTGTGAAAATACAAGTGCATTTATTTGAGAACATTCAACTTCACATGAATACTTAAAAAGTTTTAGGGGTTTTTGGGGCTGGAGAGATAGTATAGCGGGTAGTGTGTTTGCCTTACACGCGGCCAACCTGGGTTCGATTCCCAGCATCCCATATGGTCCCCTGAGCACCACCAGGAGTAACTCCTGAGTGCAGAGCGAGGAGTAACCCCTGTGAATCGCCAGGTGTGACCCAAAA